AAAAAAAAAATTAATGATTTTTTATTATTTAGTGTAAAAATAGTTTTTCTATGTTGTATAAACTTTGAAAAAATTATTGCAATTAATGCATATCAAATGACTGTTCGCTAAAAAAAAATTGGATGTCATAAGATTTATTCCTCTAATTTCAACTCAAAAAACACTAAATAAAAATAAAAAGTATGGGGTGTTTCAGTTATACATAAAATGACACTTTATTTGTCACTATTTTTTCTGTCAGTATTTTTCCAAAACTATCAACTAAATAGAACGTTTGTATGCCAAGAAAAAAACAAAAAATAATTATGATTAATGTGATAGTAGAAGAAAAATTAAGATCAAAAACATAGAGAAACTAAAGCTGACCTATCAAAAGGAAAAATCGTTGGTATATAGGATTATTGCTAAAAGGATCAATTATCATTGAACTTTCTGCTCTACTAAAGGTTACGAAAAATTGAAGAAAGAATGATGTAATCTTTGATTTCTTATTGCTAATGTTATAAACGTATCAGTTATTAACAACCGATTAAAAATACTTTAAAACTTTTTTCTTTTCTTGAAACTTTTATACGACAAATTCAACAAGTTTTGTTTCTTTGATCGAAGACTAAAGCTATGAAAAAATGCTTGACAGAACGTAGTGTATCACTAAAGATGCATATAAACATGACTTCAATATCTTAGTTTTTTACACAAGACCTAAAGCTCTTTGGTACTCCTAGACTTAAACAAGAAAAAAAAATACAATTAAGAATTCAATAAAGATATTGTTTGCCTTGGCAAATTTAAAAAGCAGAGAAAAGAGGTGAAAAAAAAAAAGAAAAAGAAGAAAAGCTTTTTGCTACTTTTTCTTCTGCATTAAATTTTTGGCAAATGTTAATGATGAAAAAAAAAACAGATAAAAAAATTAGACTAAAATTTTTAGTTTTTTAGTTTTGTTCTAAGCAAATTATTTTATTTATTATTGTTATTGTTTCGCAGAAATCCAGTCAATGCGGATTGGCACCGTTTGTCGAAGATTTACCAGCACCCGAAAAAGAGGAGATCAAAGAAGTTTGGCGAAATTACCGGACCGGTAATGATTGTGAAGAGCAACGCCGGAAAACCCAAGAAGTGGTAAGTGATATTTGTATGCGTTTTTGATTGTCACAGTTAAATATGTCTACCTGATACCAAAAATTTGGCAGTTGAGCAGTAAAGATAGTGTCTTAATTGTTGGTTGAGAAAATGATGCTGACTAAACTTAAAAAAGCAAGTGACATTTTTCTGTGACTGACTGGTAAATGGTAAAACTTTTAATGAGCCGGTCGATGAAAAGTTTGTTTGCTGTTCACCTCACGTCTTCTGTCTGTTCGATAACCACAACAGTTCTACTTTAAATACCTCCGATACTGTAATGTAGCTCTGAGAAGACGCTTTTTTTTTTTTCAAGATAAGGTATAAGTTATTGTTTAGTGTCTTGTGTGAACCTTCGCACTGTAACTTTGCTATTACCATTACTGTTCAGCAGTTTAAATTACTCGTTTTATTTTTTTTTTTGCTTTTTTACATCAGTTTTCAGAGCAAAATAAAAAAAAAAGCGCTAAAATAGTACCGTTAAAAAATTAAATAGATCTTTTTTTTCTATTACCACACTTAGATAAATACAGTAAAATTTTACCTAAAATATACTGCAAAAACACAGCCAAATATAGTTATTGCTAGTGAATTATAAGATTCTAACAATATTTTTGCTACTAGCCACCAGTTTTATGCGAAAAAAAAAAAA